AGTGGCTTTATAACCTTGCTTGTGGTGAAATGATTAAAAAACAGTAATGAAATATTAATGAAATCGGATATATTTAAAGGTTAGTATTATTGAAAGATTTTATTATTATTATTATTATTATTATTATAAACGCTATATTAACAGGGAGTAATGGATAGCGGCTCGGATTGAGAAATCGGGAAGCCGATATCGAATTCCAGTCGAATCCATTACATTCACTTACGTGCTAATACCTTCGAGAAACGAATGAATCCTCTTCTTCCTCCCCCCAGCTATGAGTAAATAGAAGGACAGACCGGGTTCTATAGCCTTGGATGGCAACTGGTCTATCGCAGAAAGAAATGGCAACGTTATGCAGGAAAAAAGTCTGCCTTGCCAATCATGTATCGAAAGATACATGATCGCCTACGCGTGTATCACGTATGGCACACAAGTGACTATATTAATGGATACATCTGTTTGAGTAGACATCTCTGTATAACTGTCATCTGGCGTGATTTTTCGAGAGTTGCTAATAAAATGTCTTCATTAATTCTCGTCTACAGACCTAAAAAAAAACACAAAAATACAAAGATTTCTTCTAAATCCCGTGTACTAAATATAACGTTTGTCGGATTATTTTTTATTTAAAAATCCATTATTTCCTTTTTTTTATATATAAGCGTTTCTGTTCTTTTTGTTCCAAAAAAGCGTATTTTGTTTAACAGTGCATCCGAAATAAAACTGATATTTTCATTGTTTAAAAAACTGCAATAATTATTTGTCCAGTAGATTCGGAAAACAAGTTCTTAAAAGCAAACGAAATTGTTATTGGGAAATTGTCAAAAAGGAACAAGAAAATTCAAGAAATATAAGACAATTCGATCAAGAAATAAGATTCAAATTCCAATCACCAGAAGTGATTACAGAATCAAAAAAAAAGTCGATCAACCTATTTTTCTCGCGTAAAAAACACACAATTAAAGAAATGTTCGAATCGATATTCCACGAAAATTGCGAATTATAACACAATTGGACAATTGGTAAGCCGCCATAGCTATTATCTTGTCCATAAGTTAATATGTTTTGAGCTATATGGAGGAATAGAAATATAGCCGACGGGTCCGGGTAAACACTTTTTTTTTGCTCTTTAGAGTGGGTCCACTGATGTTTTCTTGTCATTTGTTGAAAATAGCAAAATGGAGATTGGGACGGGTTGGTGAAATGACACGCAGAATAAAAAAAAAGAAAACAAACTCTTTCTCTTTCTTTTTCTTTTCTTTTTATTCTTTTCTTTTCATTTTTGATTTTCCTTTTAAATATAGCGGAAAATGATATCTGATTATTTTGCCAGAAGAAAAAAAAAACGGATTAGCCTTGCAGAAGGCTATTTAACCGATTGACTTCACACCAAATTAAAAATACTGTAACAACAGAGTCATCCGATGATGTGTTTTTCGAATGACAACGTCTTTGTTTGTGCATGCAAATAGACTTCACGGCCCAGCCAATAGGAATTTAAAACATTCTGATGTTCAGTCATTTGGTCAGATTTGAAGACAATAGAACTGGTAATGAATATTTCCGTCCCCTCGTACACACGCATACACAGACGCTCGTGCACACACACACACACATATATATATATATATATATATATATATATATATATATATATATATATATATATATATATATATATTAAATAAAAACAGACCACTTTAAGGTTCCATGTAATAAATTATTTCACCACAGCCCTTTTAAAGGACTGCGGATCATCAGACTTTTTCAACTTTGGAAGTAAAGTCTGATGATCCGCAGTCCTTTTAAAAGGGCTGTATGAAATAATTTATTACATGGAACCTTAAAGTGGTCTGTTTTTATTTAAATTATTTGCTCTGGATTTACATTGAGCTCCCTGGATTGTATCTTCCTTGGGTTTACCCATACGGATTACCTATTTTTTCATAAACTATATATATATATATATATATATATATATATATATATATATATATATTTATGCGTATATTTCGGCAGCATATTTTCATTAAGACAGGTTTTGTTAAATAATTCAGACATGTTCCGTCTACTTATTCTCGATAGGATTATTTCATATTCGCGGATACCTAGTTACCTCCCCTTAAACGGTATTCGTCACCCAATCCATGACACAGCTTTCCTGACTCCACATATAAAAATGATAATTTTCGGATGGCCACAACAATTTTTGTCCTTCACAAACATAAAGACTAAATATTTACCCTATAATTAACAATATCCTGATGATGACATTATCCTATGTCGAAAGTACTCGAAAATAAATTCAATATGATCCAACAGTTTTCCTCTCGTCTTTTAAAAACCGAACAAAAAAGTTTATCCGCGAATATAAAAGGATCCTATCGAGAATTAGACAGTCTAAATTATTTAACGAGACCTGTCTTAATATATATATATATATATATATATATATATATATATGTGTGTGTGTGTGTGTGTGTGTGTATGTGTGTGTGTGTGTGTGTGCGTTCCTTTAAAAATGACTGACACGTTACTGCTGTTATGTTTATATGTCTTTTATTGTGCATGAATAAGAATAGAATAGTAAAAGAACCTCATAATAAAAAAAAATCAAAAACGTTAACTATGAACACGGACATCAATTACGAACACGGATATCAACTATGTGGTTCCTTCGAAAGCCTTTTCCTTCTCTTCCACTTCCAGTGACCCGTTCCGTCTTGGTGTCATTATATCTTTGCTTCGAGTGGGATTTCTTATTCTGTAGCTCTCTACCTCCTGTGGTTTTTCGGCCTTGTATAGGGCGAACATCATTGTGAGAAGTACCTTGTCGATACTTAATGAAATGTGTATTAGAGATGGAATATATTAAGTGGAAAAATTGAATTCCCGAAATAGCCAAGTGAAAGCAAATGTTACTTACCTGATCACTATTGTCTACAGTCACCTCCCGAATACTGCGCCTTGTGAAACTATGTACATTGTGAGACTATGGTACCAATGCTGGAAACATTCTGGGAACACGTTTTCCTGAATGCCTTTCAATAAAAAATAGATAGATAGATAGATAGATAGATAGATAGATAGATAGATAGATATGAGCAGGCATAAAGATGATAGATGTGAGCAGACACAGATAGATAGATAGATAGATAGATAGATAGATAGATAGATAGATAGATAGATAGATATCCACTAAGTCTTTAGAATCGACTGAGATTGTCTTCAATATTTAGCTTTTTTATTTTCTTCTTGTTTGAACATCCAACTTTGTTTCAATAAACCAAAACACATTGTCCCTTTTCTTGCGGGGTAGTCATTGTCATCCAAATTTAGGGTTAACTATGATCTTCAATAATTTAAATGCTATCTTTTATTGTCATCACACCTTAATAGTAGTTTCTCTCAAATTCTCTGACACTCAGTAACCTCTTGCGTCCTAGTGGCTTTATTGCCTTGCTTGGGGTGAAATGACTAAAAACACTACTGTTTAGTTATTTAATTGCAGTCTGAAACATAAAAACAACAGTAATTGCGGACTGAAATATAAAAATCTAACATTAATAAAACTATCATTAAAAGATATTTGATAATGACATATTAATATGCAGCAAAAAAAAATTTAATTTTCTCATAATTTTAAAACATTTTTTAAAGTCTTTGTCGACTCTACGTGTTGGTATTTGTCAGGGATGTCAGCAGATCTTTCTTCTTTCAGGAATTTTTTAAATTGTAACAGTAGTCAAAAAGCATAGAGGGTTTAAGTCAGATAAATGAGGTGCTTGTCCCATAACTGTAATGGATTTCTCGTGAAGCCCTACGGCATCGTGCGAAGGAGCATTATCATGTATCAGGTAATTCCACTTCTCACGGATTGTTCGTGCCTTTTCCTACAAACAGATTTTCGAAACTATTTTGGCACTTCCAAATAGACATATTGATTGGCTGTTTGTTCTTCTGGTAAGAATTTGTAATAAACTCTTTCCTTATGATCACATAAAGGCAAAATCCTAGTCTTGGAATGTGAGCTTTTACTTTACTGTTAAAAATATTTCCCTTGTTCAAAAGACAGACACACCAAGGAAGGCTCTCTATATACATTTGCATCTGTTCTTTGCATTTTTGGCTGCACACTTCTTGTATCTCCGTATCCACCATCCTTTATCTTTAACCGTCTGGGTCACTGAGAAACATTCGGGCTAAAGTTTCATTAGTCCTTTTTACCAATCTACACATAAAACTTAATATTAATCCGCTACTCCGGATTCCTTCCATTCATTTTGTGTAAAAATACAGTGTGAACACGTACAAATCCCTCTACTGCTCGGCGACGAATTCGTCATCTGCTCAATCCTCGTCTCAAGAAAGTCGAAGTAGGGAGGTTTTTGGACGTGCTAGCGACATTACGGGAATTAAATTGTCATATTTTGTTCATATACATATATATCATATATACTCCTATACATGTACGCAAATTAGCACGTGCGCGAAATTAAATGTATCGTAGCATTGTAAATACGTTTTAAAATATTATGCGATCAGACTAAAATAGATTCAGGATAGAGGAAATAAATCCAGAATAGGGAGCTAGCTAGCTAGCTAGATAGCTAAATAGATAGATAGATAGATAGATAGATAGATAGATAGATAGATAGATAGATAGATAGATAATGAACATATTGAGATAGATAGATAGATAGATAGATAGATAGATAGATAGATAGATAATGAACATATTGAGATAGATAGATAGATAGATAGATAGATAGATAGATAGATAGATAGATAGATAGATAGATATGTACCATGCGTGATACACACTTAGGCGATCATGTATCTTTCGATACTTGACTGAAGAGGCAGATTTTTTTTCCGCAGTAGGTTACCATTTCTTTCTGCGGTAGACTGTTTGACATCCAAGGCTATAGAACTCGGTCTCTCCTGCTATTTACCCATGTTTAACTTCAGCAATCAAAAGAGAACCTGTGCTTTTGGGGTTATTTGGCTCCGAGCAAAGGAAGTGCAAAAGAGGGCAACACATCAAGAAAACAAAAGAGAGTGAAAGTGACCAAGAGAAACAAAGGCAGATATATCAAAAGCGAAATAAAAAAAAATATATTTCTAAAGATCTTGGAGAATAGATAGATAGATAGATAGATAGATAGATAGATAGATAGATAGATAGATAGATAGATTCCTGCCTCCAAAATCAGGTTTCTTTTTATTCTGGTCTTTACGTGGATTCGAATGAGAAGCACAGAAGGGAACTTACTAAATTTCAACCAATAAATACACAGAGAAATACTGTGATACTGAGATATATAGAAATAAGCATGTAGACATTTTTGCAAATTTTCAAATGAAAATATTTCTTGTTCAAAAACTGATGCCTAGATGGAGACATTATTAACATCTTTCGAATGAGGTCAACGTGACAAGTTTGGTGCGTAATGTTGGGCCGACACTTGGCTGAAGAGCTTTGGGCTGTTTAAAGGAAGCGCCTTGCTTTGGTGGCGAGGATGTATCAACCGTTTTCCTATAGATGATCCTTGAGTATCTCTTCGATTTCTAATCCTTTTAATCCTCGATAGAATTTTAATTCATGAGAGAAATCGTCGCCTCAAGCGTAGATCAATAAATACAGAGGAAAAGGAGAGATAACAAAATACTTTTTATGATTTAAGTTTTACAAGCATGAAATATAAAGGATAAATAAAACATCTATGAAAATTTGCTTTCGAAACCTACTCTCGATTCGGAGACACATTCCAGCCATTATTGCAATGAGCCAATGATTATAGGCTAAAATGAAAATGGTTCAAATACAGGGTACTGCAAAAATAGATATACACGTATTACCAATATTGTAATAGGGTATGTGTAATCAATACATTACATTTTGTGCGCATGCTTTGTTTTTCATTACTATATCCCTATATACGAGGAGGCACGGTGGAGTAATGGGTAGCGGCTCGGATTGAGGAATCGGAGAGCCGATTTCGAATGCCATTCGAATCCATTACATTCACTTACGTGCTAATAATGAATCCTCTTCTTCTCGCCCCCCGCCCAGCTCTGGGTAAATAGGACAGACCTTGGATGGCAACTGGTCTACAGCAAAATGGCAACATACTTCGAGAAAAAAATCTGACTCATCAGTCATGTATTGAAAGATACATGATCGCCTAAGCCTGTATAACGCATGGCACATAACTGACGGATATGCATGTTTAAAGAAGCTCTGTTTAAAGAAACTATGTTTAAAGTAGCCCGATGTCTGATTTCAAGGCACAAATCTGGCTTATCGTATAAACGTTTAACATTATAGAATATATAGCGCATAGATCAACATTATAGAATATTCAGAGTGTGGATCAACATTATAAAATATCCTGAGTATGGGTCAACCTTATAGAATATACGGAGTATTGATCAACATTATAAAACATTCGGAGTATTGATCAACACTTTATAATATCCTATGTATTTAACAACATTATAGAATATCCGGAGTATGGATCAACGTTATGGTCTATGAATCAATATTATAGAATATCCGAAGTATAGATCAACACTATAAGATGATCGGTGTATGGATCAACATTATAGAATATCCATAGAATGGATTAACATTATAGAATATCCATCGTATGGATAACATTATAGAATATCCATCGTATGGATCAACATTGTAGAATATCAATAGTATGGATCAACATTATAGAATATCCATAGAATGGATCAACATTATAGAATATCCATAGAATGGATCAACTTTATAGAATATTCAGTGTATGAACCAAGCTCGATCGTCATTGATCTTCGTAAAAAACAAAATTCAAATCTCTTGAAGTAATATTTAAAACTATGTCACCACAACAGGAGTAGATAACTTCGTTTATCATCCGGTTCAAATTCCTTTCCGGTTCTTTTGAATAGGAGTAGAGGTTTAACCCTTTGTTTCTTGCTTAGGGTTCGGTTTCCGCTTGCTTCTAAAATCAATTCTCTTTCACTCTCAGTAGCCCATTGCCCCTTAGTGGTATTATCGCCTTACTTGGGGTGAATTGATCAAAAAATAACTATTTTTTACTATTGCTTAGGCCATAAGTTAATCAATTATTTATGCAAATGTTCACTTAACATTTGTGTTCCTTTTCAGCCATCGTATCATACTCTTACTGAGGCTAGATTAGCTAATATTTGTTTATTTACCAATAAATTTTAATAAACAGATCGAGAGATACACGTCCTGTTTTTACACTTGAGTCAAAAAGATACATATAAGTCTGGTTTTAACAGGTTGGTCAAAAAGAAGCCATTAGTCAGCTTTATACTTGAGCTTACAACTACTCACCCAGAGGTGGCCATATTGGATGGAGTCATAATCCCCTGAAAATTAAATTCAACATATTTTTCACTCTCTTGCAAACCAAACAAAATTATACTCTTTCGACTGTCGCCCAAACCAAACCAATGTCTACCCTTTTGACTCGCCTGCAAACGAAACGGATGTCTACCTTTTTGGCGCTGATGCAAATCAAACGAAATGATCCCTTTTCGTCTCACGTGCAAACTAATGACTCCATTTTTTTTTAATCTGATGCAAACCAAAATCTTGCTTTTTGACTCGTGCAAACCAAACCAATGTCTCCCTATTTGTCATTCGTGTAAGGCCAACGAAATTCTATTTGAAACTCGTGGAATGCAAACGTAAATCTACCTTTCAATTGTTTATCGAAACGACAGAATTCGAAATTAAATAATCTGGAAAAGGTTGATATGCCGTAAAAACAAACCGAATCAAAACCAAAGCCAGAGAAAATTATTTGAAATATAATAAACGTTCCGTGCCAAATGAACATCGTACTAGGGGAGGGGGTTGTAGGAAATAATTTAACTGTGATTTTGCCACGTAAGAGTCGTGAAGAGAAAAAGACTAGAGACTATTCTTTGTATTGGAAAGCAAATATTATTATTTACAATAAATAATCATAAAAAATTCGAGAAATTCTCTATAATTTGGGTTGGAAGTGCAAAAATGATGTTAAACGACACCAAATTCGAAGTGCACTGAAAAGACATTACAGAAATAACACTACGAGAATCCTAGAAAGGAGACGATTTTTCATATGAAACTGAACTATTATCCGTCAGCTCAATTTATATAGCAGAAAAAATGGCGAGAGCACATATGTCGAAACAGAAGAAATGTTAATGTTTTCAATACATTACGCACAACTAATCCTCCCTTAAATAGTGGGATTACCCCACTTGTCTACTAAAAGTTTTCGTCTAACAACAGCTAGATAGCGTTGCCAATAGAGGTATATAATAAAAGCGATATATATATATATATATATATATATATATATATATATATATATATATATATATATATATATATCCTCGCACTCGTAAGGGGGGGAACATAAAATGTTAAACGATTTTTTTTAAAGTTACTCATTTTTCTTTCACTTTTTAGTCTCAAGCAACACCAACTTGAGAAACATAATATAAGATTTAATTACTTTAAACACGCACAACACATATTTTCGTTAGCCATCTGATGAAGCCGTTGAGGTGAAATGCATTATCGGATATTATTTTCGAAACATGCTTTCATGAACATTTTCCCAAATGTCAATAACTCTGTCGGGATTACATACCCAAATTTATTATATCCTCTCAATATAGAGAATTCATGGATAAAAACGATTCCTTTCATTTATTTTCTACCCATTCTGAAGAATTTTCCATCTCAAAACTCGGACTCTTAAGGCGAATTACATACTCAAATTTGTTATATATATATATATATATATATATATATATATATGTATGTATATATATATATATATGTGTGTGTGTGTGTGTGTGTGTGTGTGTGTGTGTGTGTGCGTGTCTGTCTGTCTGTCTGTGTCTGTGTCTCTGAACAGTGGCGCGCGCGCGTGTCTATGTATGTATATATATTTAAGCAGCATAACTTCGTTCAAATATGCTTGGTTGAATGATCTAGACATATTATGTCTACTTTTATTTTAATCCTCTCAAATTCACGGATCAATTTTTTACTGTCGCCATTAAACTAATTAAGAAAGACGCCGTAGTTTTTCTCCTTCCTTTTAATTTCCCCAAGTGTTTCAATCTCATCCAAGATCATCTTCAGTGAGAGTGGAGACAGTGTGTAACAGCAAAATTGACTAAATGATTTTACAGCATAACTGTCCATCCGACAAACTGTTTAATATCTTTAAAAAAATGCAAAACTAATTGGGTTTCTTTTTTCCAGGTTTTCAGATAAGACGTTTAGTCATCTTCATACCATTTGTCGTTAGAATCATTGAAAAACCCTTTGAGGTATTCAGCTAGAAAGTGAACAGGTCAAAATCATTTTCTATAAGCTCCACTATCTTCTCAACTGAGCAATGGTGAGAGGAAAAAGATCACTTGGGCCTTCAGTTATGATACCAATATTCATACTCTGATCTTCAAAGTTCTTTCAAGAACTATCAAGAGAACGGTGAATAAGTTTAAAAAAGAGTAAAACTGAATCAAAAGGTCACAACGGAAATGAGATCACCATTTTAAATTAAAGCTAAAGAGATCAATTAGAAAAGATCCAACTTAATTCATAAGACGTTTGGCACGTGGGAGAGAAGTTTCCCCTATAACAGTCCAAAGAGCAGTGAAAAATGACTTGAAAATGAAATCGTATGTGAAATATGTGTGGCATCTTGTGACCCCAGGACAGAAAGTTAGAAGATTAGAGAGGGCGAGTATCATCTTGAATAAGTTGAAAAATTACCCTGGAATACTATATATATATATATATATATATATGAACTTTCTTTCAATGTTTCATGAGCTTCCGATCCTTAGCTATAATCAATTAATGATGAACATGTCATTTTCGTTTATGAATGATTTCATGAGGATTCTTCTGTTAAGCTTGGGGGGTAATTATGCATTCTTATTGCTCAGAGTAGACTCCAATAGCATTATAAAAACCTCGGAGAATTCCAGTAAGAGATCTTTAATCATTTCTAAGATACAACGGTTCAAATCAAACCTTAATCTAGCAATTGGACAATTTTGCTGTTACACGGAATATATATATATATATATATATATATATATATATATATATATATATATATATATATATTTATTTGGATTGATATATATATATATATATATATATATATATATATATATATATATATTCTTTTCCATTCTGCGGTTTTGTATTTCTTTTTAACTTACTCACTAAGAAAGAAAATACAATAGAAATAATTATTTTGACGTTTCTCTTAAATCTTTGTTTTAATCATTTCACCGTAAAAAAGGCAATAAAGCCACTAAAACACAAGGGATTACTGAGCGTTAGAAAATATACAAAAAAAACATTACGAAAGTGAGAGACAATAAAAGAAGAGGAATTAAGAAGACAGAAGGTAACGATTGACATTGCGTTTAGAGTCTTGATGATCAAAGTTGAAGACAGTTCAAGAAGCGAGAAATGCGACAGAAGAAACTATTAGCATAGAACTTACGGTTACATCTAACAATTTCATCTGTAAAATGATGAGACCTCGCCGCCAATCTAGTACTGCGCTTAAATTCATCAGAGTATAGGTACCATAGAGGAAAATTAAAAAGAAATAATTAATAGAAAAGAGGAGCTAAGTTATCGTGGTGGGAAAGTGACTGAAGCCGAGATGCCAGATGAGGACGAATAACATTCCAGATTCTTCTTTGGATTTTATCAAGAACCTATAAGCATATTACGTCTATTTTTATTTTAATCCTCTCAGATTCATGGATCAATTTCTTAGTGTTGCCATTAAACTCATCAAGAAAGACGCCGTAATTTTTCTCATTGCTTTTATTTTTCCCAAGTATTTTCAATCTCACTCATCCATGATAATCTTCAGGGGTGAATTGCTAAGACATCAAACCAGATGTGATGGCAATATTCAAAGAAAGGACGAATGGTAAGACTTATAAATATGCAAGATGGCGCTAAAAATAATATTTTTAAGTTAATATTTAAGTAAGTGACGAAATTATAATGAAACTGAAGACAGTGCAATCTCATGTTAACTCAACATATTAGGAAGACGGAAAAAATGAATTTTAATGGAACATAAAACGCGTGCTTACCTTAAGAAACAAAAGTTAGTAGCATTTTTCAATAGGTGTTGTTTGAATACATGATTGTGCTTCACACGCGACTGAAATTCATAACAAACATATTTATTCTGAAAGGTGACGACACTTCTTTCTATACGATTCGGGTGTGGATTGTGAATGTAAATACGTTAAAAGAGAAAACGAAGGAACATGAAATGCATTTTCGTCATTCGATGCTTTTCATTTCAGGAAAGGAAACATACATTGTACAAACAGCAAAATTTATATGTGCCGTTTATGGAAATGGTGCCGTCGGTGAGAGTATTGTTCGTAGGGAGTTTGCTAGGTTTAAGGAAAAACGAAAATATTCGAACAAGTCTGCAGCCTTTGACGATGACTAAATCGAAACGACGATGAAAAATAAGCCAGTTCACACAAAAGCTGATATTTCAGATACGCTCCAGATATCTTATAAGCGTTTTGAAGCATTTGAAAGGATAAATATGTAAATCACTTAGATCTGTTGGTGCCTCAGGAATTAACAGAAAAAAATTAATAGGCTGTATTTCCATCTACGATTCTCTACGCAGATGCAATTAAAGCGACCCGCTTCTAAAAAGAACAACCACAGTTGAAATTTTTCTCAGCAAAAGATAATGGAACACACTAGCATATATGCGGTCGAATATAAGCTATGTACAAATATCTAAGTACTAGCAGCATGGCCCGGCGTTACCCATGCTTGCTTACAAAAATCGTACGACTCATACAGCAATCGCTATCACTTGACTTAAAATATTTTTGCCCTTCCTTTGCCTTTAAAGGAGTGCCCTTTGTCGTGCTGATGTTGCTACATGCCTTACTTCTTGCCTATCTCACACTGCGAGATTTTTGAATAAGCTCTATACTAAACATTAAATCTGTTACGAAAAAAGAACTAAACAAAATGAACACAAAACGATCAGCTTTAAAAAAAGGACTCGTAACTGGAAAAACCGAATGAAAAAAGAATGTTAACAACAAATACTTTTTCACACTCAACCCAATTCTACGGAATCAGAATGAACGTTGAATTTAAGCAAGCGAATGAGCCAATTAGAGTAAAGTGCCATGCAGATTTAAATTTTTCCCACTTGTGACGAATGCAGCTATCGATTTTTTTGCATGCTAGCATGCTAGTTAACATTTGTGTCAGTCAGCTGTTGGCTATCACGCTGGCCAATAGAATCTTCCTGCCTATTCGTGGCAGACAGCTATAGGCTCTCACTCTGGCCAGTACAAAATGGCCGCAAACTACATGAAAACTGCCGTAGAAGCATGAAAAAATCGATTATTTCCGCTATCGATGGGAGTTGGGAAATACAAAGTCAGTTTTGGCCTTCCCGCTAACTTGGAGCATGTGCATGTAAATTTTGGTGCAAAGCCGTCGAAAATTGCGGCCGTGCATTCGTTACACACACACACATACATCCTGCCTTTTATAGATAGAGATTGTCTTTGAAATTCAACTTAACAGATCGAGGTTTTGTTGTTACACGATACTTTAGTCTCAACTACTTATACTGACAATAATATTTTGAATAATAAATCAAGTCTTTGCTTCAAACAAACGAAAACCCGTCAAAGTGTTGACATCGCTGTCTGCGTAGACAAGAGGAGGAAGATGAAAGAAAGTGACAAAGTGGAAAACATACAAGGATCTCATCTAAAGAATGGAGATGATGAGAAACAGTGTGTGTGCTCTTGGAAACTGTCCGTCAAACACTTGAGACGAGATTACAGTCGAGATTTCAGTTTGTCCAGTAAACGGAGTCGGCCATGATTTCTGAGGAACAGGCTATTATTTTGAGAAGAATCGTTGGTTGGTTGATTTTTGTTTAGGGGCTTATCAACATCAATGCGTTATTTAATACCGAAATCTAAATATTTTGAACACAATTTTATGGCTTCAACTACATATAAAAGATATTGTGGGTCATTCTGCTATAAAATGTAATGGTGGTAATTTCACTATAAATATGTATTGTTGGTAATTTTTTATATAAAATGTATTTCATAGTGTTTTGTTTTTGTTTGAGGAGTTAACTATTTTTTCATAGCTGCGACCCTAACAGGTGCTACCACGCCAGGTCCGGGTGGATCTGGGAAGAATAGCAATTAAAAGTTGCTCCACGGTCCCTAAAAGTTCCAATGAAAGAAAGAAAGAAAGAAAGAAAGAAAGAAAGAAAGAAAGAAAGAAAGAAAATGATTGCGTTCAAATTAAAATAATAATAGTAATAATTTAAAATCTACTTGTAGCTCTGGAGTATTACGAGATACGTTCTCCTATTCCTTCCTAACTGACCTTGTACCACAAATAGCAACACTAAGCAAATATCAATACATATACTCAAAATACATAGATAGATAGATAGATAGATAGATAGATAGATAGATCTGACAGAATGACAGATAGATAGATAGATCTGGCAGAGGCTTTGCTTCCGGCTGTAGTTTATAGCTATGCCCAGCACTACAGGAGAACTGCAACACTAGCAACAACAATCTCAAAATATCTGATAGCTTATACATGCAAAAATAATAATAATAATAATTATTATCATTATTATTTTTATTATTATTATTATTTAAAGTTGGTTTAATTAACAAAATATAGATTAAATGCCTGAAAATAATTGCTGTTAATCAATTTTATTTACAAGACTTGTGATTCTAATAATATCGCCAACATTTAAAAATAAGGGAGGTAATTGAGAAACCAAGAAAAAAGTTGCCTGTTATAATACTTAAAAGCATACATTCTATTTCGTATTAATGGGGAAATGCGTCTTTTCTGTGAATTCTACCTATTATGGTTGGATAGAGATGGGATGGAAGTGGTGATATATGTTTGTTTTGTTTTTGTTTCTTTTTAGAAAATAGATATCGTATTTCGCTTAGCGAGCTGCTGACGTTGTTCAAGATCTGGTAAAACCTTTCTGTTTCATATGTTGATATTCAAAGCAAGAAAGGAGACAGATCAACTTGAAAGATTGGCGCTAAGCAATCTTCCTATTCCCATTTGGCCTTGTGCTGTACTAAGCTATGTTTAGTAAATATATAGAGTGTACATTAAAGAGAAGAGATTGATCAATTGATGGCTTAACAACACCTCATAGGTTATTTAAAATCAAAGTCTATTTCAGATTTTAGAAGGTTGCTTAGAGTTCCCTGCATCCTCCCCCACCTGCACCGAAGTGCGAACCCGGATCGACACTGTTTTAATTCGTTGATCAAACGGAAACCCGTGCTTTTTAGGGTAATTTGACCTAAAGCAAAGGAAGATAAAAAGAGGGCAATACACCGAGAGAAAAAAAAGATAGAAAGTAAGAGAGAACGAGAGTGAGAGAGAGAAAGGGAGATAAATGAACAGCGAACAGCACAAGACTCGGGAGCCACTCGAGGTAGAGGGTTACAGATTAAGAGGTACAGTTTAGGCGGATATGTGGGAAACATAACGGTTAAAAGCGAAGAGAAGCTACGCGAGTGGAACTTCTCATCAGTGGAATACGAAGGGAATGAAGACGGTTCGCTACAATCTTTGTAGTATGGCAGGGGTTAGGGTATAAAATGTAGAACTGGTGAGTTTTCAAGAATAGAAAGAAAGAAAGAAAGAAAATGATTGCGTTCAAATTAAAATAATAATAAGAATTTAAAATCTACATGTAGCTCTGGAGTATTACGAGATGCGTTCTCCTATTCCTTCCTAAGTGACTTTCTACCACAAATAGCAACACTAAGCAAATATTAATGCATATACTCAAAATAGATAGATAGATAGATAGATAGATCTGACAGAATGACATAGACAGATAGATAGATAGATAGATAGATAGATAGATAGATAGATCTGACAGAATGACATAAATAGATAGATAGATAGATAGATAGATAGATAGATCTGACAGAATGACATAGATAGATAGATAGATAGATAGATAGATAGATAGATAGATAGATAGATCTGACAGAATGACATAGATAGATAGATAGATAGATAGATAGATAGATAGATCTGACAGAATGACATAGATAGATAGATAGATAGATAGATAGATAGATAGATAGATAGATCTGAAAGAATGACATAGATAGATAGATAGATAGATAGATAGATAGATCTGACAGAATGACATAGATAGATAGATAGATAGATAGATAGATAGATAGATAGATAGATAGATAGATAGATCTGAAAGAATGACATAGATAGATAGATAGATAGATAGATAGATAGATAGATAGATAGATATCACAAGAGAAAACCAGAGAGATGATTCCTTCTCAGAGTAGTATGTCTTTTCACTGTAATAGAATCAGTGCCATTACGAGCAACCTTGAGCTGTCAAAAACTTAAAAATAAATTTAACAGCAGAGGTTGATGCTGTTTCCATTCTCGCTAAAACGTCATGATGTTCTTAATTGATTGTCATCGAACTGATTTTTCTTTCTTTCTTTTTTCTTATTTTGAATCTTCCAAAATACCATTAACTAACTCGATTATGTCTTTTAGCCTGTTTACTCCTCTAAGCCATAAAGACGAGTGTGAAATTTCAGGCCCTTGTTATGTGGACTCCACAAAGTGAAATTTCAGGCCCTTGTTATGTGGACTCCACAAATTACGAACAAAAACGGATGGCTTAGATATTGGGTCTGAAGTAACTTCGACGGACTAAAGAACGTCATCATGATGAATAAATAATAAGATAAACAAGAAAATTCAAAGACTCGTCTCCCATCTTTTGAACAGGAGTAAAGGTTATCCCCTGGTTCTTGGTTAGGATTGTTTCTTCTACTGAAATTTTCTTATTTCTAATTTCGCTCCTAGTAATGCCCTTGTGTTTTAGTGGCTTTATCGCCTTGCTTGGGTGAAATGATTAAAAAGACTATTGACAACAAAACAAAACTCATATTTTAAGCAAAATAAAACTCATCTGCAAACTATAAAAAAACAATTATATTTGCTTACATCAAAATGATGCTCAAGAAAAATGTTGAAATGCCAAACTTGAGAAAAAGATTTTTATGTTAGTAAAATAATGATATATTGAAAAATATATTAAAATCCATTTGATTCTTAATTCAAAGTTGTACTTATAAAAGGATAAGAAACATTTAAAGTACTTGCTTGTATGGTGCACAACAAAGATGAAAATGTAGGAGAAAAGATAGATTTCTTACTTTCAAATGATCAATATATTGCTTCAGGACCAAAGTAGAGATAGAAGCTGGTTCCAATTCTTACAACAGAATAATGTTTGGAGTCTGAAAAAGTGAGAAAGAAAATGAATGAATAAACAGAGAAAATTGATTGGTTAGAAATAGGGTAGCTGATTCACAAGCATTTCATTTATTTCATAAAATTAAACATTTTGATGAGCAATTTTACAGCCATCAAAGAATGATACTGACTTAACTAATCAAGTACAAATTAATAAAGTCAATTGTTAAGTTGAATAGGTATTCAATCTGAACAAATGAATATAACAGGCATTTTTGCACATTATTCATGTCATGTCACCATTTTCTAAAAAAAATCAAATTTAATTAAGGGTCTACTTTAACCCACAAAAACATATGTACACTTTTAAGTATTTTTGTATTATTGAATGTAATCTGTGAAAAGAGAACAACCTTTCAATTCCTATTATATCAAAGAAAAATACTATTTTTTATTTAACCATAGTTCCGAATTTAATCCATATTTTTCACCTTATAATAATTTATTAAATTCCAAAAGGATCTGATGCACTCGTTCAAATCAAGCGTATCTTCTTAATAATCCTCATTTCATTACGTGTTCATACTTTTAAAATATCAGCGTGGAATCGACAAGCCGAGTTCAAATTCCGCTCTCGTCTGATAATTTGATTTTACCCTAATGCTCTTGGACAAAGTATAAATTCATTTTTTTTCCTAACCCTCAACTACGGATTAAAACAGCAATGTAAACTGAGCTCTCTTGTCTTAGGTGGCTACCAATATCGAAAAATGACAAGTCTTAATTTGTAAACCATCGAGTAGGAAACCAGAAATGATTCCGAGATCATGGCTTTTCGCGGGAATTTGTGGAGAACCATGATCGCCTACACCTTGAACAGACTTAGAACTTACACTATTACACAATACGGGAACCACTAATAAAGAAGGAAATACAAATTACAGCAGCAGCACCAGATACAACCTAATCAGCAGTCAGGTTAGGCTTAGGACTCTTAATTGTTTGGAGGTATAATTGTTAGACGCTCGGATTGAGGAATCGAAGTGATGAGTTAGAATTTCAGTCGAATTCATTACATTTACTTACGTGCTTCGAAAAGGTATGAATCCATCTCTTATTTTATGGGTAAAATAGCAAGGCAGACTACGTTCTATAGCCTTAGGAAACACTGAATTCAAACCAGCCTCTGTCTCTTTAGGCAAAGGCTAGAAGTTAACTTCAAAAAAAAAAATCCGGAGGAAGGTAACTCTAAAAATCAAATCCACAGTAACATCCCCGGTGCAAAAAGAACTGGCGAGGCATTGTACTATTCTTCTTTAAATGTCACCATGAACCACAATTGTGAGAAGAAATGGGACGATGACCGCAGCAGCATAAAATGCGCTATAACGAAGAAAATAATACTGAACTGCTACGTGACATCTGTCCTTCGTAAAGAAGGACAGATGTCACGTAGCAGTTCAGTTCTGGCAGCGAATGTTGGACGATTTCCTCAAAGATGAAGAAGAGAATCGAAGTGATGGAGATGTGGTTCTTCAGAAGAATGCTAAGGATATCATGGACAGAGCGTGATGAGGTCTTAGAGAGGATGCAAACAAGGAGGAGGCTTATACTTAACATCAGGAAGAGGCAGCTGAAATTTCTGGGACGCATAATGAGGAAGGAGGGCCTGGAGAATCTAATACTCACGGGTCGAATAGAGGGGGAAAAGAGACAAGGGAAAACAAGGTATGACACACCTGATGGACTTAAGCAAGTGGATGGCAGAACGTGGTCTGGTGCAGGAAGGAACTTGTTGAGAGCTGCATGGTATAGAAGGAGGTGGAGAGCCATGATCGCCTACGTCCTGAAAGGATACGGCACATAGAAAGAAAACAGGAATAAAATGAATGAATTGTCCTACGGGGCAAGTGTCTCTTGTATAAAAGCGTTGGTTTGTGAATTTGGTGACATAGTGATTGTGAGTTCAATCTCTGGCTCAGGCAGTGTGTACTTACACTCACTGGAAACGGGTGGTGCAATATTGAACAGTACTATCTCTAGACATGAGTAGTGGAACGAGAATAGTCTACCCAGTAGATTACATTGAACAGAAGGTTCAATTCACACTTGCCTGTATATCACTGACGAAGGCCGGAAGACCAAGGGATCGAAAGGTTGTGATAATCACAACAAAGATGAGGTCAATATAAATAATGTAAATAACCCCTCGTCCCAGAAATTCAGACACAGAAAAGACATAGCATTTATTAAAAACAATATTGATTGATGCATCATTGTCGCACACATTCATTCGCCATTGTACACGTATCTACACATCACGATTTACGTCAAAGTATCTGTATTGACAGTGAGAATGAGTGCAACGCTCAGGACATCAAATGATGATTTGTATTTTAATTAGTCCTCTTTGTAGCTGCAAATGTCTATTTTGTATTCCATTAGTCTACTTCGCAAGCCATTTAAAATTCACCAGAAATTGTAATTTTAAAACAATGAAAAAAATAAATCATTTGATGGCGGTAAATCCATACAAACTATTGATACCAACAGATTAAAATGACAGGTATAAAAAAATACTATTTTCACTTTGTTTAGTATTCTCTCCAACTTTTGCTTTCTTTCTTTCTTTCTTTCTTTCTTTCTTTCTTTCTTTCTATCAATCTATCTATCTATCTTATTGCTTGTCTATCTATCCATGTGAATCGGTTCATGATTTATCTATCTTTTTATCTATCTTTCTATCTCAGCCTGTTCATGAATTATCTACCCTCCATATATCTATCTATCTATCTATCTATCTATCTATCTATCTATCTATCTGAGTCTGTTCATGATTTATCTATCTTTTTATCTATCTTTCTATCTCAGTCAGTTCATGAATTATCTACCCTCCATATATCTATCTATCTATCTATCTATCTATCTATCTATCTGAGTCTGTTCATGATTTATCTATATTTTTATCTATCTTTCTATCTCAGTCAGTTCATGAATTATCTACCCTCCATATATCTATCTATCTATCTATCTATCTGAGTCTGTTCATGATTTATCTATATTTTTATCTATCTTTCTATCTCAGTCAGTTCATGAATTATCTACCCTCCATATATCTATCTATCTATCTATCTATCTATCTGAGTCTGTTCATGATTTATCTATATTTTTATCTATCTTTCTATCTCAGTCTGTTCATGAATTATCTACCCTCCATATATCTATCTATCTATCTATGTGAGTCTGTTCATGATTTATCTATATTTTTATCTATCTTTCTATCTCAGTCTGTTCATGAATTATCTACCCTCCATATATCTATCTATCTATCTATCTATCTATCTGAGTCTGTTCATGATTTATCTATATTTTTATCTATCTTTCTATCTCAGTCTGTTCATGATCTACCTATATATCTATCTATCTTATTCCGTATCTATCTATCCAGCTGAGTCTGTTCATGATATATCTATCTTTTTATCTATCTTTTTATCTCAGTCTGTTTATGAATTATCTATCTATATATATGTAAAATATATATATATATATATATATATATATATATATATATATATCAATCAATCTGTTCATGATTTTCTCTTTCTTTCTATCTCAATCTTTTCATGATTTATCTATCATTCTTTTGTATCTGTCGATCTAAGCCTGTTCATGATTTAACTTTCATTCTATCTAATGAAAAATATACAATTTTCCTAAAGAAAACGATTTTTTTTGTGCCAAATAAAGAAATTTTCTTTGCCGTGATAGAATGAGAAAAGCGAGCACGTGACCTCTCTTATTCTGAATGTTAAGCAAGACGCGAACAAATAAAACTCAAACCACGACGGGAAATTTAAAAGAACAGACATTCTTATAGAACATAAGAAACAAAGAGGATATTTACAAAACTTCTTTTTGTGTGACTTAAACAATAATTAAGGCTATATAACAAATCAAACAATATACATGAGAAAAAAGATCACACATTTCTCTAGAATTATATATATATATATATATATATATAATTCTAGAGAAATGTGTGATCGTTTTTCTCATGTATATATATATATATATATATATATATATATATATATTAATATATAGTAATAGATTTAATCGATTAGTTTATTTATCTCCTGTTGACTGTTCCTATTTTGAGAAATACATCCGCTCTTCAGGAGATTTAAGTAGATTAATATAAAATCTGAAGAGATGTAGTTCTATGATACCCTGAGTAGCCAAAAGGTCAGTGAAAAAGGTCTATATATATATATATATATATATATATATATATATTAATAATAAAATAAGTACATTTTTCACTGACCTTTATGTATATTTATATGTATAAATTTATATATATATATATATATATATATATATATATATATATATATATATATATATATATATATATATATATATATATATACATACATACATATGTATATACATACATATATATATATATATATATATATATATATATATATACTTAAATTTCGAAGAGGATAGAATCAAGGTAGAACTCAATGTCCAGGATAGAATAAGAATATAATATAAAAGGCTCAAACACTAATATTCTATGGTTTATTACATTGGAATCGTAATCACGATCCAATTCATCAAAATTTGTAGGTCTGATGAATTGGATCGTGATTACGATTCCAATGTAATAAATTATAACCATGGAATATTAGTGTTTGAGCTTTATATTTATATTAGTAATCCGTGAACAGAGACATATTGTCGCCCATATATTGAATGATTATATATGTGACACTATTTGTCTTGCTAAAAAAGAAAGAAGAAAAAAAGAAAGGCGAGAATTAAATTTAGGTGATGAGAAGCCATCACAAAAACGACACTAAGCGGTGTTATTTTTCTGACAAGGAAAAGTGGTAAGATTTTTATTTTCCATTGTCGAGAAAGGAAGATACTGGATTTAATCTGATTTATGTTATGGGGCGGAGAATGTGATATGACCAATCTGCCGGATGACCTGCGAGACAGAATTCTAAATAGATAAAAATTAATTGGATCGCAGAAAAATGTCTGATTGGATCAACCGCAGAATTTAAAAAAGAAAACAAGAATGCCCGCTGACCACCATGAAGGAAAGGTTAAGCCTTTGTCTATGAGCAGAAATCATTGAGAGGAGCATCTGTTTATTGTCGGGGCTAGATATGATAAGAAATTTATTTTATCGGGACGAAAAGTTGGCTGTGTTTCGCCAGATGACCACCTACTTGATAATTGGCGAAAATCTCGTTGACGAATTCCATATGAAATTCGATTGCGATTAAGGGACCACACTACGAAAGAAAAAGAAAAGAAAAAAAAAGGAGATAATTTTTTTTTTCTTTGAGCAAGATTTTTTTAAACCGAGGCTAGTCTGGCCACACCCACGCTGCTGAGCGCCCAATGGCTGAATGGTAGCATGAGCGTTAGGCGGAGGTAATCATGTGAAGAAGGAGGGGAGGCCTGTTGCGCCCCCCCTCTGAAGGGATAGGTGTGAGATGCCACTGTGAGAGAGAGGGGAAACCCGTTGGCACCCTCTGAGGGTATGGTGAGATACCAATATGGGAACAGAAGAAGGTGGCAAGACGAAATACTTCCAAAAATGGAAAATAATAAAATTTTCCTGACCGAAAACAAAGAAGTGGATTGTGGGTTTGGAATTATCAAGGAACCTCAAACCCCGACATGTCCACCCCGGTTTTGGTCGGCGTCCATATAAGCAAAGTCGTAGCGAGCGAAAATCAGTTCCAGTTAAGTTCGAGTTGTTCGAGTTCCAGTTGAGAAGCGGTTACAGTGAGCTGAGAGCTCTGAAGACCCGCCTCGCAGAAGCTGACTAAGATTCACGCAATTCCGAACTCATCTTCTAATCAAGAACAATTTATTTTTGAAGAACGACTTAGACTCACACCACCAAGACAAGTTTTACGAATATCGCCTGAAGATACACCAAGAACCAGTTTCTTAAAGAACAAACAACTTAAGATGTTAAGACTTGCCTAAGAAACACAAAGCGATTGGGAAGAAGATTCAGTCCTGTATTCAGCAACCAGATATAAAATATTGTTATCCTTTTTTAACACATTTGAACTTTTCGAGTTATTATTTTATTTTATTTTACATATACTTGTGCGATATCGCCCTCGTTCGAACTCGACTTGCATTACGGCCCGGCGACTGATTGATTTCGTCTGCCTAAGATCAATTCACAACGTGGGTAAGTTAGACTGGAAATCAAAGCAGTTACTTCGGTAACCAGACGTTGGAGGCGAGCTGGGAACGACAAGGCTGATACCGAACCTAACCAGATTCCCATCCGAATCACCAAAAGGTTAGAACGTCACATTTGGTGCCGCGACGAATACCAAGTCACATTGGTCGTCACAGGGCAGGATAGTACGACAGACGCAGCCAGGAAGACGTCACATTTGGCGCAGCGACACGGAGGTGGGGGGGGCGTCACATATATATATTACGAGACTTATATCTCCATTCCGTTGGAGATACGAGTTGCGAGTGGTTTAATAGATAGTGGTACGGAATTTGAATTGGAAAAATAAGTTTGAATTCCAGTCGGTTTCGTTACATTACGGCCTTGGGGTAGGTATAGACTTATCTCTTCCTCTCAGCTATGGATTAAATAGTAAGATTTTTATCTGTTATAAGTTATTCTCAAATAAAAAGTTAATGCCAGTTTCGCTCGCAAAAATAAAGATTGATTCCTACAATCCGAAATATGTTCTCGCTTTGGATAACCTGCATCGTCAGGATCGAATTCATTATCGTAGCAAGAGTGTCTTTTTTTTTCTGCTATCTCATTTTGAATTGCTTGATGACGACGTAACTCGTCATTCTCGATGGAAGCCATTTTTTTCTGTTCCCAGGTTTATACGTTAATCACTCCAATAGTTATCTGTTTTGCACCGAAATGCAAATGCACAGACACACGCGCGTGCGTACGCATACACACACATGCACGCACACACACACACACACACATATATATCATGAGATTGAAAAGGATCGCTCCCAGCTAGTCATAATTTCTTTGTTCCCACAGCAAACGAGCAAGATGTAATATTTAGACGTGAACAAAATAATCAACTACTTATTAAGTACGCAAGAGGGATAAACGCGCCAACGAACGAGTTATTTGCGTGAAACTATTACTCGGTACATTAATATGTGAGTATGTAATGCTTATATGAGTGTATGTGTTTGTATACGTGTATACATGTAGAATTTATATATGATCGCATGGCATTTCTGAATGCTTACGATAATATGTATCAGTGCGTGGGCATGTGTTGATGTGATTCTAAGTACATAAAAGAATTTTTGTCTTTATTCATCTAAAATCTATATCAGTTCATAAAAAAATCTGTTTGATTTTATTATGCAAGTCAAGGTTTTTTGTTTTTTTTTGTTTTTTTCCAATATAATTCTTATTAACGAATCGATATTGGTAAAGTGATTAAGATAAGCCTATGTTTATATAATTAATATTAGCTTGTGTCATAAGTAATTTCCGTTTTGGAGATCAATTAGAATGTTGAAAGTAACAGCCTGACTAACCATTCGTTAAATATAACGTAGCAACTGATGAAAAATAAGTTACATACGACAATGTGCAACGCAAATGACAGTGGTTTACCAAGGATCAGTCTCCACAACCAATCCTCAAATCTGAATTTCAAGAAAAAAAAAGGTAATGTTATGCGTGTAACGGAACTGTCTATGTATTCTTTATGCATTTTTGAAATGCAATAAAACATTATTTACACATCTATACGTCCAGCGGTTGCAATATGCTCATAAATGTTTGGTCGAAAAGCGTCCTACGCTCGTCAAGTGGAAAGATGCTGTTCTCAATACAAGGCAGCGTACAGAACGAATAACACAGGAAAAGATTTGGGAACTCGGCTAGTCTGTTCTATTCCACTCGGCATATTCACCAACCAATTATTACCCTTTTCGATCACTTCAAAACGTTTTGATGACGAAACTTTCCTTCGATTAAAATCAGATTCAAGTGTTTGTCGGAAAAATTTTCATATCAAAATCTGCGGAATCTTACTGAAAAGGTATCGAACTGCGTTCTGATAAGTGGTACCAAGTCATTGCTAATAAGTCATTGCTAATAACGGTGAATATACAACTATAATATACAAATATAACTACTTAAACATAAAATTAATAATAAAACTGATTATAAAAGAACAAATTATTTATGACTCAACCTAATATATCAGGCGAATTAAAATATATCAGTGCGTGGGTATGTGTTGATGCGATTCAAAGTGCATAAAAGGATTTTTGTTTTTATTCATCTAAAATCTATATCAGTCCATAAAAATCTGTCCCATTTTATTATGCAAGTCAAGGTGTTTTTTTTTTCTAATATAATTCTTATTAACGAACTGATACTGGTAAA